CAAAACAAATCCCAGCTGTATGCAAAATCAGTGTTAACAAATCTTAAGAGATTACCTGAGAATACCTTGATAAAATATTCAAAACATGCCAGAGGAGCAGTGTTTTAATTTTTAAAGATTAGAAAAAAAAAAAAACAAAGAACATGGACAGAGAATATCAGATTGTTATAGCAAATTTCAGGTTTCTACACACACTATACAAAAGACTTGTTGTAAAGTAGCCAGTAGATGTCCCTCTAGTTGCAAGAAACAGCAGTAATGAAAGCTTAATAGTATGTTGTAATGTATGTCTTTATTAAAGATTGTATTGCTGGTATAAGTGATGAAAAACAGCAGGGAGATGTATTTAAGCTTGCTTGTTTACTACTAACATGTTCTTATTGTTTTTATTATTTTATTGAAGAAGTAAACGTATCTATTTGTAAGCCTTCGGAATAAAAATAATAACCTTAGAAGTGAAAAATTGTAATTCTGCTTCCATCCTCAGGGGGATGCTGTCAGACGGAGCCCGGCATAACTTCCAGAGGAGGGGAGTGGTGGTCGTGCCAGGTCAGAACATCACCACGGAGAGAGCACTGGAGCTGGCCATCGAGGCTGGAGCCGAAGACATCCAAGAGACAGAGGATGAGGAGGAGAAGCCCCTGCTGCAGGTCGGACATCAACCTCCAGGAAAATGATTTAAGTTTTGATATGCGCCTTTAAATAACTGATTGGAATGATTTAATTCTTCGAGATACCGACAAACAGATGTTTTTTCAGTTTTCCATACAGTACAGTAGAACACACAACCTTCAGCTCTGTCCTCAGGTTAAATACAGTTCAGTTTGTGCATTCAATACAAAATGAAAAAATAAATACTCAAGGTTTCTGAAATCTAGAAATCTAAAAAAAACTAATAATTACAATATTAAAATAATAGGTACAATTTAATTTAATTTAATTAATTTAATTTAACAGCTTGATCTACCTCTTTGTCTTTAGTTTCTCTGTGATGTGGCTGACCTGAATAAGGTGAGGGCCTCGTTAAAGGAGCTAGGAATGGAGGTTTTATCCGCTGGGCTGGAGTTTGTTCCCCGCACACACGCACCCCTGGATGAGGATCACCTCGATGCTGCTTCAATTCTAATAGAAGGCCTCAATGACTGTCCAGATGTAGTCAGAGTGTGGGACAACATCCAGGCTCACAGCTGAGGACAGTCTCTGGACACTAGGTGGACACTAACTGTGGAATATTGGAGACAAAGGATTTGCCAGCTGACACCTCATGGGTGCCGATACTGCATGTTATCAGTAAGAACAGAGTCTTGAAATTAAAATTGAGAGTCTGAAAGTGTGACTGTATTAGCCTTATGGATATGGTCTGTATGGGGGGAAGCCATCCTGAAATACACTGTGCTGTAGGAAGTGAACTGCATCTCCATACTGACGAAAGAATTCATCATGTAGGTTTGTAAAAATTATTAAAAGAGGTGTTTTAATGAGTCCTTTTTGATTGAACATGACCTCAAAGTTAACCTTTGAACTCATAGAAGGAACAAGTGTTTGTGGTGCCGTGTACCACATAAAATCGTTTCGAGGTCAGTAAACACAAACAGAATTCATACATAAGGCACACGGGATTATAAGGGGCACTGTCGATTTTCAGGAAAATCAAAGGATTGATTTTAAGTGTGCCGTATTTTCCAAAAAACAGTAATAACGATGGCCCGCTAGCATGCTCTACCAAAAAAAGTGCTTTGTTGTGTATCTGACGGAAGAAAGCCAAACCAGTTCCACACCACTGAAGTTGCAGCATTTTTACAAACCAATTCTGGTTCATCCGTTTCATTTAACGATCCACTTTCGCTCTTCTCATTCTGCGTCCCCGCTATGTGCGTATGTAAACAAAGGCACTGCGCATGCGCGTTTTACCCATATTCTATCGCGATATGTCATTTTCCTATCATTGCCCAACATTACACCGGTATTACCGTAAACGGTATGATATAGCCCAGCCCTACTTCAGCCCTCATCCAGACATGTGAGACAGCTTTGAGTAATGCTTTTGTCTAAAATCTGTTTTCTATAATAGTCACAGTAGAAACATGCACCATAGACATGCTGAAAAAAGTGAAAAAATGCAAACAACAGGACATAACATGTTTTTATCCTCTGGGCCTCCAGGTCAGAAGGTCACACTTTAACTGGCCCACAAAAAAAATCTAATTGATTGGCTTCCTATAGTCCCTGCTTCATCCATAATACCTCATCATTAAGAAAAATGTGTTTGTAAAGCACCTTTCAAGGACAAAGTCAGAAAGTGCCTGGCAACAAATGAAAAAAATTAAATACAGTATATCAGATACATGAACAACACAAAGTCTTACATATAATTACTCAAACGCCTGTCTGAGTAGGAATGTCTAGCCTTTTTTAAAAGCCTCTTCTGAATCAGTAAAACAAAGAGATAAGTGCAACTCACGCCACCCCACCCCAAAGGCCTGGTTTCCACTCATTTTAAAATGAGACACCACCAGCAGTCTGTTCCAAAGTCCTAAGGGTTGAAAGAGTGGGTCAGTAAAAGTTTTAACATGTGCCGGGGTGCATTGCCATTTAAATTTTAAAACTGACTCGAGAGTCAACAGGGAGTCAGTGAAGATATATTAAAGTTAGGGGATATGAGATCTCTTTCTGGAAATATTAAAAGGCACGCAGCTGCATTTAGGACAGATCACAACCAAATCTGCAAAATAACTAGTAACTAAAGACTTAAAATATATTTAGACTCAGCTCAGCTCTAGGTATCACTGCGAAAAACAAAGGCTGTGTTAAACGAACCAGCAGGGCTGGTGATGGTAGCGTCTCTTTCCTTTAAAGTGTTCAAAACAGGCAGTTAGATAAAGAGCGTTCAGCCGTATGATACAGAATTGAAAGAGTATGTTTATTTTTTTTTAAGAGTTAACGTATGAGGATGTAAAAACGCATTATTTCCTTAGCAGGTACTAAAATAACCTCAGATGAACAACAAATATTGATATTACATCATTTGTTAGTTTTTTGTTGCTTTTGTACAAGACCAAAGTGGAACATGTGGGGAAAACCAAACACAGCACAAACACCTCATGCCAACTGTTAAACACGGTGGTGGAGAGGTGGTGATTTGGGCTTGTTTTGTGGCTACAAGTCACTGAGTTGACCATGAACACCTCTGTATACCAAAGAATTCTACAGTCAAATGTAAGGCTATCTACTTGACAGCTAAAGCAGGTCAATGATCCAAAGCACATCAGCAAATCAACAACAGAATGGCTGAAAAATAAAAGAATGAAGGTGCTGCAATGGTCAAAGCCCAGACCTCAGTCTGAGTGAAATGTTGTGGAGGAACTTTAAGAGAGCTGTGCAAAACAAATACTTGCAAAACTCAATGAACTGAAGCAATGTTGTAAAGAAGAGCTGGAGAAAAAATTCTCAAGAATGATGTGACAGACTGATAAAGTCAAAAAAAGAAAATGAATAGCTAGAATTTCTGCTAAAGTTGGTTCTGCAAGCTATTGTATCTGGGGATGTCTGGTCAGGACCAGATGACATGTTTTTAATTTTGTTGTGAAAGAAGGTGTACTTTCATTTTCACATTTTGAATATGCTGAGTAAAAACCTCATTAATGAGGTTCAATTCATCTGTTTGCATCATAAGGGACCTCAAAGGACAGAAACCCCATCACTGGCCAAAACAGACCCTCATCTGACCAATGAACTTTCCTAATGTACTTTTTTCTTGGCCCTGGGCCATCGGGTCATCGATTAGGTTGACCTCTGAAAACATTTGGCAGTTTTTCAGTTAGGGCATGTAAAGTATAGTCGTGATACGTCGCTTGTCTACTGTTAAATATTTTCCTTTGTCGTCATCAAAAATGTTTTAAAAGAGGAAAATATGATATAACGTTTTTAAGAACCAAATAAAAGAAATACAGATGTTAAAGGTTACAGCTGAAGGACAATGTCATAATGGGTCATTACTCCCTTGTATTAACTGTAGTGTCAACATTTTAATCAATAAACTTGCACTTCAGCAGTTTGCATGGAACATATGGAGTGGACACCATTCCCAACTTTGTTTTGAATTTTTCAACTTGACATTGTGCAGCCTGAACTATACTCAAAATCTAATCTAATTTTAATTTAAACCAAATTAGAAAGCTGAAATGATAATTTGATGTCAACAGGGAGATCTAGTGTAATGGCTCTGAGCCCATTTGTTCTGTTATCAATGCTCGTCATCGATTTTCCGGTCGGTTCTTCTCAGCTATAGCGTGGCATTGATCGGTTTCCAGTGTCGGGGAAAGTTGCACAGTCGCATGCGAGCAGCAGGACAGTCCTCCGCTGCGTGCCAGAGAGAGGCTTCAATACTGACATCTGCAGCCACAACAGAAACACCGAGTACTTTTGTTTTACTCAAATATGAAAGAGGAGACTGAATGTTTTTGAAGACACTTGTCCAAAAAGTGTTTGAAATTATGGATATTTTGGATGCATATATATGGTAAAGGAACATCTTACTTTGAAGTTTCAAATCAGGTATGTCCTGTTCACTTTTAGTGATGTTTGACTGAAGATTTGATCGACTATTGAAAGATTGTTCAGCTATGTAAATCCTGCCTTTGCCATGCAGGGATTAAAGTATTGACTCCTTGCACTATGTGGGGGCATAGTATTTTGGGAGGGGCACAGCTAGACTTGCATTCTGGGAAATCAGAGTACTGAGGAGTTTGTATTAGGAAACAGAGGTGTATCAAGAAGTTTTCAATAAGTGTCTTTATATAAACAAAAGCACAATAAAGTAAATTACATCAGGCTTACAATAATAGTAATCTTAATACACTAACTATTGTAATATTATGAAAAAGTCAAAATTCTTTATAGAAAATGATCAAAAAATATTTTTGAAACCAGCTTGGATGTGATCTCTTTATTCTAAATATAAAGAAGTGTTTCTCTAATCATATACAGGACAGCAAAGCTCAATGTCTGACTCAGACCTCATGAAGGGTGGGGGACCGGCCATCAGGAGCCCCGAATGCCGTTCGTCTCCGACTCCTCGAATGGAGTTCCGCAGCTCCTTCAAGGTGGGGGAGCGCTCGCCCAATGTCACAGAGAAGGTCACACAGGTATGGCAGCTGAGAACCTCACATGGGATCTGCAGGTCCCATTTATGAGATCCAAATGACTGAAATGTATTGCCATTAATGATCACATTCACTGCTGACCTGGTTCAGTCCATCACTGGATGTGAAAGTAATCATGTTTTTAAATACTGAGAACAAGATGGGCTCTAGAAAGTTTCCACGCTGGAAGACTTCTGTTAATTAACCTTTTAGTGGAAAAATCAGTTGGTGATCAGGTGACTGGTTGTATTCATCATTGGGTGTGAAGTAGAACCTAAAACTGAGCCACAGTTAAATTAACACCTACTGTTAACACTGCTGGAAAAAGCTCAGTGACCTGCATCACTGCTCTGTGGGATCATGTGAGATGGATTCAAAACAAATGGAAGCGGCATGTGAACTTGCATGGGGGTACCCGGTGATCCCTGTCTCTCTGACTGTCAATAATCTAATTTATCTGTCTTTTTCATAGAGTTATTTGCAAAGTTGGTGAGATTAAATAATATGATATTGAGGGTATAGGCAGAACTCAATGACAGTGAAAGCACATGACCAACTCATCGTCATTGCCTTCCAGCAAACCAACATCCTGCGTTCAGTCAGTTCTTAGACTGTTGATAAACTTTTCTGCAAGTCTTGTGTCTGCTGAAAGACACTAATGACAGGATGGTCAAGGATTTGTTGGACCTACAAGGTTGCAAAACTAAAGCACGCAGCCTCCAACGAGAACCTGGTCAAAACAGTACATGCTCTAACAAGGTCTGTTGGTTAGTTTATGAGAGAGATTTAATAGAAACACTAATATTTGTTTTGTAGAAATCTAGGTTTACTGTTTTCCTTTGCATGCAAAAGATTAGGTGTTCTTTTCATCAAAGAAAGAACGGATTTGGGTACATGATGGATATTTATTCACCTTCTGGGAGAAGAAGTATATTCCTCAAAATCAATTAAAACAGCACTCGTTAAATATTTTGATTTCCTTGTGAAATAGGTGAAGAAGCATACTGATGAATTCTTTATATGCTTAGGTTCTCTCTTTGGAGTCTGATGTGCTGCCTGAATACAAACTCCAGGTACCAGAAACAACATGTTGGATCGTGCTTCACTACAGCCCCTTTAAGGCATTTTGGGACTGGATTATTCTCCTTCTGGTCCTCTACACAGCTGTTATTACTCCTTACTCAGCTGCCTTCCTGTTGGATGAACATGGGGATTTACGCCAAAGGAGTTGTGGCTTCACATGTAACCCTCTAAATGTGGCAGATCTTATGGTAGACGTGCTGTTTATTGTGGATATAATCATAAACCTTCGGACGACCTATGTGGACCAAAATGACGAGGTAGTCACACAGCCGAGCCAGATAGCAAAGCATTACATCAAAGGCTGGTTCCCTATTGATTTGTTTGCAGCAATCCCGTTTGACCTTCTCATTTTCAGATCAAGCTCGGACGAGGTAAGAATTCTGATTCTTTGTAAAGCTTCAAAGGTTTTTATCCTTAAGTGTCTAAACTTTAAAAGTTGTTCCCTATTGAGTTTCAAAAGTTATTGAAGCTGTTTGACCTTTTATCTGCCCATCCCTGTCTTACATGTTCCCTCTTGTTCATGGATACCAAAGATGGCAACCTTAACAAGCCTCCTGAAAACAGCTCGGCTATTGCGATTGGTCCGTGTGGCAAGAAAGCTTGACCGATATTCTGAATATGGTGCTGCTGTCCTCTTCTTGCTCATGTGCACCTTTGTACTCATCGCCCACTGGCTAGCGTGCATATGGTATGCCATTGGCTTTGTGGAGAGGCCGTACACTGAGACTGGTTGGCTGGACAACCTGGCTGAGCAACTTGGAAAGGCGTACAATGAAACCGACTCCAGCTCTGGTCCTTCAGTCAAAGACAAGTACGTCACAGCTCTGTACTTCACCCTGAGCAGTTTGACGAGTGTGGGGTTCGGTAATGTGTCTCCAAACACGAACTCAGAGAAGATCTTCTCCATCTGTGTCATGGTCATTGGATGTAAGTTGAATAACCCATGGTCATTGTATGTAAGTCTTTAGTTGGGTACTGGTACAACTTTACTATTATTACATCTGAAATGACCCAATCCTGTTTGTCTTCTTGTCCTCTTTCTCTTCTGTATCAGCTCTCATGTACGCCAGCATATTTGGCAATGTATCTGCCATAATCCAGCGGCTGTACACTGGTACAACCCGGTACCACACCCAGATGCTGAGAGTCAAAGAGTTTATCCGCTTCCATCAGATTCCAGGTAGTCTGCGCCAACGACTAGAGGAGTATTTCCAGCATGCATGGACATACACAAATGGAATAGACATGATTGCTGTAAGTAAACAAAATGGTAATGCTCCTTTGATGTTCTTTATCTCTCTTATTGTTACGTATCTTCTGACCGTATTTCTTTGTTCAGGTGTTAAAGGGATTTCCAGAGTCTCTGCAGGCAGACATCTGTTTGCACTTGCACCGCTCTCTGCTACAGAACTGCAAGGCTTTCCGAGGAGGCAGCCAAGCATGTCTCCGTGTCTTATCTGTGAGATTCAAGACAGTCCATGCACCTCCCGGAGATACTCTGATTCACTATGGAGACATCCTCGACTCTCTCTTTTTCATCTCACATGGTTCCATCCAGGTCACCAGAGATGATGTAGTGGTGGCCATATTAGGTAAAGCTATGTAACCATACATTATTTTACTCCTCTCAAAAATGACCTTCTCAAATCAAATAAATCTTTGTCCTCTTACAGAGAAGAATGACATCTTTGGTGAGCATATCCACCTTTATGATGAGCCAGGGAAATCAAGTTCAGACCTACACACCATCACCTACTGTGAACTGCACCGCATCCTTAGGGATGACCTTCTTGAGGTCCTGGATATGTACCCAAGCTTTGCAGACAACTTCTGGAGGAACCTGGAGATAACCTTTGACCTGAGAGATGTACATTGACAGTTTATTGTAACACACTTCACTTAATGCTAAAAACATATTTTATACTGTCACTTTGGTGAGATAATACATTTTTTTTCTGTCGTCTTTAGGCTGATCAAGAGCCACCAGTAATAATAGCTGATGATTCTGGTGATGACTGTGAATACCACCACAAACCAAGATGCAAAATACACTCACTGGACTGCAGAAATAGGCCAGGTGAGATA